ATGGAGGTGTTCAAAAAATGTGGTGAGTTAGTCTTCTAGACATGGTTTAGTGGTCATGGTGGTATTGGGTCAATGGTTGGACTTGATGATCTTAGAGGTCTATTCCAAACTAATAATTCTATGACTGATCCTGGGTCTTCCCTGCTTCAGACAGGAAAAGGAATCAACTTGGTTTTGTGTATTAGCAAAATCTGTCTTTCTCTGCAGGTTTCACTAGGAATGTGACATCTCAATATTAAGAATTATGAATTCCTACTGATCTAGAACGAGTGTAAAATATACTTGTATAATTATGCTAGCTTTATTGTTCTTAATACAACCAAGGGTGCTACCGGTTGTTAACTGTGATTCTGAAGAATACAGTGCGATTGCTTTCTTTTTGTGGTTTTATAATGGAACATTTCTCTCTTTATGCATTTCTTTCATTTCTCAGTGAAAGGGATCAACAGGACAGCAGGGGTCAAAACAACCAGCAGTAATTTTATAGAACTTATGATTACAGAGAATATTTCCTGAGAACAGTCAACAGGCAAATGGTCAACATACTTCACTGGGATAAAAGAACCCACAGTAAAATCCTTGATGTGTTTGGTTCAAATCAGACACAAATCCATGTCTAACATTTCACTAGAGTACTTGTTACCTTGGGAAATAAAGAGGATGTTGAAACACTTGAGTTTTCTGAAACTCTGCTTTTGAAGAGCCACTATTTTCTGGGGAAGAATCATTTCACCTGGAAGAAATTTTTTGGATATTTTCTTCTTAGAGAAAGTAACTCATTAGCAAATCACAGTAGAAACTTCATGTAAGCATCAATAAAGAGTACTTAAATTAGCAAGAACAAGATACCAGCATTTCAGAAAGTCCTGTTTTCATGCAGACCCAGTTTGGGCAAAATATCGAATCTTCTTGGTAATAAACACAAAAAGGAAACCATAGTAAGCATCGGTGATTGGTTTCCATAAAGTTAAACCTTTACTAAAAAGTTAAAACAGTGTATGGCATTTGCACCAGAAATTTTGGTATGTACTGCAAACATCATTAAGATACAAATAAAAGCATGCAGAAATATTTTAATGTGGTTTGAATTAAATTCATAACACATAAATGCCTCCAATGATCACAACAGAGTTACTAAAGTAAATTTGAATGTGGCCTAGGATCTCTTAGTCTTCTAATTACAAAATGTATTTGCTTTCCTAGAAGATTGTATGCAATACTTCTATTCCAAAATAAATATTATCAGCCATTCATAGTCCCTTAATTCAGATGGGTAAATAACTGTAACCTTGTCTTCATGGTACACAGATCTTCCACAGAAACTAGTCCAAAGCAATGAAAAGGAAGCCAGACACTTCATTACATATACTTCTTTCTCCCCTCATGAAGACAGCATAAGAGCAAAAACTTAAAAACCCTACCGGACTCGGTAGTGTTAAAGCACTCAGGTAGTGTTAAAGGTTGAAGGAGAATCTGTACTAAATAGCTGCAACATGAGGTCCTACAGAATTACTAAACCATGTTCCCCTTGCTTCTTCAATTGAACTTGCAAACGAAAGCAGCAGTTGCAATGTTTCACATTTTTGAAGTTATTTACTGTATTATCTGTACATAAGAGCCCTACTCAGCAACTGGGTCACACAACACTAAGCACTGGGCATGGACTTCAGATGTAGTGTTAAACCCCAAGATCTGGAGCCTGATTTACAATTAGAAAAATCCTTTAATTTCATTACCCTTCATCAAGATAAGGAGTCTTTACTGTAAAGGAAAATCAAGGCTTTTTCCAGCCTGCAATTAAATCTGATTTTGGCTAACAGTTAAAAGCTGTGAGCACTTCAGCAGGTATATCTCCTTTGGGAGCAAAGGTGCTGGTGATTGCCCTGGGAGGCTTCTACCTCGTGGTCAAAACCGAGCAGGTGCTCTGCGATATACTAGGGGGTGGTGGGTACCCCTACACTAATGGAGGCACTGAAACTGCCAGACCATACTTGGCTTTCAACTCTTGGAAATGTCTTAGAAAAATCATAGAATCATAGAATGGTTTGGGTTGGAAGGGACCTTAAAGATAATCTAGTTCCAACCCCCCTGCCATGGGCAGGGACACCTTCCACCAGACCAGGTTGCCCAAACCCCCATCCAGCCTGGCCTTGAACACTGCCAGGGAGGGGGCAGCCACAGCTTCTCCGGGCAGCCTGTGCCAGCGTCTCACCACCCTCACAGCAAAGAATTCCTTCCTAATATCTAATTAGGAAGATAAAAATCATACAAAGGAAACAATGGATGAGGACCGTGAAGTGCTCTCCAGAAATGTATTTGATAAAATGAAAGCACAGTTGCATGAGTAACCTGTAGTTTGAGCTTATTCTGGCTGCAGTTGGGCAAATACACTTTTCCTAAGCATCTGTTTACTGCATGTTATCAGAATCAGGAGACAGCACTAGACTGAGCTTTTGGTCAACCGCATATGGTAGCTCTTACATTCTCATACAGCTCTGAACAGCCAATATACCCTATAGCTAGTTTTAATAACCAGAAACTATCATACTGGGCTCTACAGAAATACTTGAGTGATAGAAATAATGCTATTATGCAGGGATACGAGTTAATTATTGGCACCATAGTAAAACCACTATGCTGCTGTTATCTCAGTTATTTCTGCAGTAACTTATCCACTTTCTAGCAGGGGCAATCTACAATGACAGATGAGGAAGAAAGAAATGAAATTAAATTGAAAGAAATAATAAATAAGCTACGAAAGTAAGAGTATTTGTACTTGTCCAGTACAATATTGTCTTCATTTCTTCTCCCTTGCCACATTCCCACTGACGTGAGGAGGTAATATACAATGTCAAGGAAATCCATGTCTGTCTGTGCTGAATTACTGCATTCATATTTCTTCTTGTTTGTAGTGAAAGAAAGTCATAATAAGCCCAGCTATGCAGATGAGTCATACAGGCCATCTTTCATTTAACAAGGCATCTTTAAATACCACTCTTAGTTAACTTGTACTCATTACCATCACCAAGCAATGTTTGTGCCATACTATCCTAATTGCCAGAAATTTGCGCAAGTAAATCATTAAAAGGTTAAGTTATTTTTCATGCCAAATATAATGTACAGTATTAATCTGCTTTATTTTGTTATTACGAGTAATGTGATGTCCTACAGTCGTATCAATTTATAATTATGCCAGATCACATGGCAGGGGGGAACAAGAACAATAAACAACAGACGGATGTCATTTCTGCCTAAATTCTCCATGTAAATCACAAACTCTTGTTAAGCTACACTGGGCTTTCTTCTCAGAGTACAACATGCAGATGGAATCACATCAGCAGAGCAAGAATTGCAACACATCTTTGTCTCAATTTTTTTAAAAGCAAAGTAATGAGATATCTTTCAAACAATATCCAGCCTGCTTTATATTTCCCTATTTGATCTTTAAGCCTGCTTTTTGATATTACTTCTGAATATAAATCCTAGAGATAACAGTGAAATGCAGACATTTTGGCAAAAGATGAGACATGCACGAGACAATTTCATGTGTTGATGACAACACCATGATAGGATGGAGCTTATTGTCCAACACGGAAATCTACAGAGGTGATGATACATTTCTCATGTGCACTAGGCACAGAGCATCTCTCCAGCTCCTCCAAAATGCGCTTCTGTACATGAGAAGCAATGTCTTTCCTGTGCTACATATTCCAGAATTTTTCATTCTAGTTTAATCCTG